CTGGTTGAATTGGAATTTGGACATGTTAGTTTTTGAGGAGAGGATCTAACCAGAATACCCAGAGAAAAACCTCTCAAAGCAAGGAAAAGAACCAACAACAAACTCTATCCTAGTATGCATACATGCCAACTCTCCCGGATTATCCGGTAGTCTCCTGGATACGGCAGCGATCTCCCGTTCTCCCATACGGGTCACCATACCTCCTGAATGAAATCATCTTTTGTGGATAGCATTGTCCAACTTTTGAACAACTGGGGCCTGGTCCAATCTTAGCCCAAACAGAAACCATGGACTTTCCCCACCAATGTTGAAGATCTAGATAATTTACATAATTTAATACAATTTTTGTTTGATTCTATAACGGATGAGCAGAAAGGGTGAAAATGTCTTATAAAATTTGGTTGAAACACATTGTTTTTTCTTTGACAATGCCAAAGAAATAATTTATCCCAAGCTGAGTTACAATTAATTTTTTTTGAAAACACCGTGTTCTTTTTTGCACTATGTGTTTTACTTATGAAATAGTGTGTTATAACAAGAAACCTTTTACATTTGAATTTACTCAACATTTGTAAGAGCAAAGAATTTGTCATACAGTCTACTGAATTTTGGGTTCAAAAAGTATTAAAATGTTTTGCTTCTTTTTCAGAATGTTAGTAGAGAACAAGCCTGACTGGTCTGGAAGATGGAGCCATCTTCAGAAACTACTGATGAGGAGTGGACCTTTAGCGCATCAAGACTTTGAACCAGGATCTCAGGTGAAAATATTTAGCAGAGAAACAAATTTTTATCTATTTTTCCCACAACCAAGTTTATTATTTATGGATTATCCCGAGGATCATTCTGTAAGATTAATAATATGGGACTGATCTGCAAAAACAGAAGGATTTGTAATATTATTATTATTGTCTTTGAAACATCTAAACCCAAAATTGATTGGTGACAATTTTTGTTTTGAGAACATTTATCTGCACTCGTTTGGAAACTATGAACTCCTAACTGGCCATCACATCTGTCATTACTTAGTGGAGAGAATAATAGCTTAACAACAAATGATTGATGAGAGAAACACCTTTTTCGTTTAATTATTTAGTCGGTTTTCTCCAGTTTTTACCCTGGACAAATTTTTTTCCGTGGAGTGAAACCTGTGACTTATTTGCTACATCAGATCAAGGCTTGGTAAAATTTTGAATTCCAGCTTGTCCTTTAGATGAGCGGTTCTCATATTTTGCATGCCAGGGGTCAATGGATTTATGGTAGGGCAGTGCTCGAGCATCACCTGGTGGTCCCTGGTGCTCAGCTTTCGCTGTCAGTCATGTGCTAAGAATTAGGAGACTCACCAGAGCTTAGCTCTATTTATATAATAGTCAACTCTCTCTTACTGGATATTGCTATGAGATGGGCACCTCGCTTCTCCAAGATGGATATGTTACAGGTCAAAATTAAAAGTTTTCAAGTTACAGGTTGATTCTCCTTTGTCTCCTAGCCCTAATTCATGAATGTAATATTAGGGCTAGCAGACAAAGGAAATGACAACCACTAGGTTAAGAAACTTTAACCTGAAGTTTACATATTCTTTACTTCATTTATGAAAGCTGTAAAAAAAGAACATTTATTTATTTAATCGAGGTTAACGTTATTGTGACTTTTTTGGTTTTCCTACCGCAGGTTCTTGAATTCATGCTGGAATCTGCCAAAATCTTAGTTATTGGAGCTGGAGGTTTAGGATGTGAACTTCTTAAGGATTTAGTGAGTTTGTAATGTTGGTGCTGGAACTGAAAATATATGTAATTCTGCTGCAGCATTTGTTACATGTAGTGAAGTGTTGCAGTATAGTAGTATTTAAAAGTATTATTTTTCTATAAACTGATGGTAGCTTCAAGAGAAATACAGTTACATTAAGACAGAATCCTCCAGAAAATTGAGTAATTTTAATTTTCAGTGGACAAAAACCTTGTACCAGAAAAATTTGAAGAATATCGCATTCATTTTTACATTTTTTTTTCCCAAGGGCTAAAGATGTAATAATTAATCATCTGTAACAACACCGAAGAAAATTTCCCATGGGATTCCAAGAAAATAAATGTCCAATTTCACAAGAATTGTGAAAAAATGGGTAAAATTCTGAAAATTACATGTGTTAGATGTAATTTTGTGAAATTTGACATTCATTTTCTCAGGCTCCCATCAGAAATTTTCTTTGGTGTTCTTACAGATGACTAATTACATCTTTAGCCCTTGAAAGATGTAAAAAAGAATGCAAATATTCTTTAAATTGTTCTGGTACAAGGCTTTTATCCACTGAAAATTAAAATTACTCAATTTCCCGATGGATTCCATCTTAATTTTTTCCCTTTTATAGATAAACATTTTGATGCTCAAAAACATAACATTATTGAAACATGTTCTTATGAGATTTTCTTAGAAACATTTTTTGGATGTTTGAAAAATCCAGGTTAAATAAGCTATTACTAACAAATAATACTATTGCTGGTTTGAACAACCTTGTTAGTGATGTTGTAAAGTTGGCGTGTATACTTAAAATTTTTGACTCAATGTCTGTTTTTAAATCTCCAGGCACTAAGTGGATTTAGGAACATAGATGTTATTGATATGGACACCATAGATGTATCAAATTTAAATAGGCAGTTTCTTTTCAGGTATATTAATAAAAATCCAGTTCTACTTAATGTTGCATAATATTTTATGATATATGTATCCAATGTCAAAATTACATTATGAATGCCCTTCTCTTCCCCTGTTGGTGTTCCTGTGTTTGTGGTCTGTGTTAGTATTCCTGTGACTGTCTTAGTAACTGTACAAGAAATATCATCTTTATTTCTTGTAGTTTGAAATGCTTCTGGTGTGTGGGATTCGGAAGTTCTACTGGGGTCTGTCATGAAACTTAAGTGTACGTAATAATGATACATGATATTTATATTAGATTGTAATATATTTTGTCACTTTGCAGACCGAAAGATATTGGTAGAGAAAAAGCTGTAGTGGCTGCGGAATTTGTCAATAGCCGTGTCGCAGGCTGCAATGTTACACCGTATCCTAATCAGGAAAGCATGATGTTTTTGAAAGCAAAATTTGAATTATTGCAAGTTTTGTTCACTGTAACTGTCTGTACCTGTAATCTTCAAAAAGGGTTCCACAATCCTTGACAGAAATTGTACAGCCATTTTAAAAAGATTCAAGATTATGATGCAGATTTTTATAGAGGTTGGTACAACATGTAGTTTAAAAAGCGTGAAAGTTAATATATTCTGTTGTAAGACATGACACTTTGATATTTTTTCCACATTTCAATTCAGTGACAGAACTTTGCTCACTGTAATGTATTTGCCAGGATTTCATCTCATCGTGTGTGGATTAGATTCCATTGTAGCCAGAAGATGGATTAATGGAATGGTGGTATGTATTAAACAACTATAATCAGAACTTTACAACCTTCCCCATTATTAATGGTTATTGGACAGTATATGTAATAACAGTACATGTTATTGCACGCCCTGTAAATGGGCTGTTGCACTTTAGTGGGTTACTCTACTGTGCAACGTTTTTCACATTTTTGCATTGTCTTTATTCTGTGATTCTGTGATCTAAAAAGTTTCTAGGAAATTGCATGGAAGAGAATAACAGAGAGAAAACCAATATTGTTCCATTATTATGCCAAATTCTTCAAGAGAGATTTGTTTTGTTGTAGCTTAGTTTATTAGAATATGACGAGGATGGGACATTGGACCAAACAAGTGTTATCCCTGTGGTGGATGGAGGCACAGAGGGTAAGGCTAAGGTCAATTGTGTTTTATCAGATATCTTCTAGGAAAGACAAGATTGCCTCAAATGCTGGGCTAATTATGGGATTTCAAAAGAATGTCACCTATCACTGTAAGAGAACTGAAGAAAAACCTCCTTGTTGATAACAGATTTTATTGTCACAACGATGAAGAAGCCCTAAAACGATAACGAAGCGAAAATAAAATAACATATCAAAATAAGAACTAGATAAACTAAAAAGAAAAAGGGATAGTGTCTAAAGAAAAAATGTAATGGGAATGAACTTACAATGAATAAACGTCCACTGGCTGCCAGTTAATATGCGAACTAATTGTGCAAGAAAAACAATATGGCTGACCCAGAAAATGGTCAGGGACCCGTTAGATGCTTAGTGTATGAAACCTCTTCAAGAACCTCCTATACCATACCAAGGTCACACTTCTCTGAGGCGCAAAGCAGATCCTCAGGATGCCAGGCTTGCAGAGAGTTAGAGCGGTTTTCATTTGAGTGTCGAAAAGTAATTGGTTTTGCACTTTCTACACGATGCGATTGGCTTAAAAGATTCGCGCCACCTTTTCATCCAATCAGAAGTAAAACCAAAGCCAATTGTGACGCGCTCACATGCATTTTCCCGCGCTTTGCGTCAGCCACATGTAATTACTTCGAGTTTTGATTGGTTCAATGTATTGTCTGTGTCCTATGTGATTGGCCAGAATAATTACTTTGGTTTTGGTTTTACGACACTCAAACGAAAACCACTCTAACAATAATATTTTGTTTGGATTGTAGGCTTTAAAGGCAATGCTCGGGTCATCATTCCTGGACTAACAGCTTGTATAGAGTGTACACTTGACCTCTACCCACCACAGGTATGACTTTTGTTGACTTGTTTGATAGTTGTAAATACTTTCCTTGCTTAGTTTGCTTTATGGCTGACCGACATCCTGTACATGTGTTTTCTTGCCAGGTTAATTTTCCATTATGCACCATAGCACACACCCCTCGACTACCAGAACACTGTGTAGAATACGCCAAGGTGTTAGTATGGCCTCAAGAACATCCTTTTGGAGGTATGTACAGTATTTTCATCAATCCTTAACTTTGCATTCCATTTGCATTTTCATTTTGCTGTGCTGCAGAAACCATCAACTTTCAAACAGTTTGCCGTTACAAACAATCACTGATTTTATTCAGCAAGCTAGTTAAACTGAATTAATAATCCTCTATGATTGTTGGCATCTTTATTTTCATACTTTTAGTCCATTATTGATAGAACAAAAATTATAAAGACTATAAAGATGCAGGCTACCCAAGATTAATTCCCAAGTNCCAGGCACTAAGTGGATTTAGGAACATAGATGTTATTGATATGGACACCATAGATGTATCAAATTTAAATAGGCAGTTTCTTTTCAGGTATATTAATAAAAATCCAGTTCTACTTAATGTTGCATAATATTTTATGATATATGTATCCAATGTCAAAATTACATTATGAATGCCCTTCTCTTCCCCTGTTGGTGTTCCTGTGTTTGTGGTCTGTGTTAGTATTCCTGTGACTGTCTTAGTAACTGTACAAGAAATATCATCTTTATTTCTTGTAGTTTGAAATGCTTCTGGTGTGTGGGATTCGGAAGTTCTACTGGGGTCTGTCATGAAACTTAAGTGTACGTAATAATGATACATGATATTTATATTAGATTGTAATATATTTTGTCACTTTGCAGACCGAAAGATATTGGTAGAGAAAAAGCTGTAGTGGCTGCGGAATTTGTCAATAGCCGTGTCGCAGGCTGCAATGTTACACCGTATCCTAATCAGGAAAGCATGATGTTTTTGAAAGCAAAATTTGAATTATTGCAAGTTTTGTTCACTGTAACTGTCTGTACCTGTAATCTTCAAAAAGGGTTCCACAATCCTTGACAGAAATTGTACAGCCATTTTAAAAAGATTCAAGATTATGATGCAGATTTTTATAGAGGTTGGTACAACATGTAGTTTAAAAAGCGTGAAAGTTAATATATTCTGTTGTAAGACATGACACTTTGATATTTTTTCCACATTTCAATTCAGTGACAGAACTTTGCTCACTGTAATGTATTTGCCAGGATTTCATCTCATCGTGTGTGGATTAGATTCCATTGTAGCCAGAAGATGGATTAATGGAATGGTGGTATGTATTAAACAACTATAATCAGAACTTTACAACCTTCCCCATTATTAATGGTTATTGGACAGTATATGTAATAACAGTACATGTTATTGCACGCCCTGTAAATGGGCTGTTGCACTTTAGTGGGTTACTCTACTGTGCAACGTTTTTCACATTTTTGCATTGTCTTTATTCTGTGATTCTGTGATCTAAAAAGTTTCTAGGAAATTGCATGGAAGAGAATAACAGAGAGAAAACCAATATTGTTCCATTATTATGCCAAATTCTTCAAGAGAGATTTGTTTTGTTGTAGCTTAGTTTATTAGAATATGACGAGGATGGGACATTGGACCAAACAAGTGTTATCCCTGTGGTGGATGGAGGCACAGAGGGTAAGGCTAAGGTCAATTGTGTTTTATCAGATATCTTCTAGGAAAGACAAGATTGCCTCAAATGCTGGGCTAATTATGGGATTTCAAAAGAATGTCACCTATCACTGTAAGAGAACTGAAGAAAAACCTCCTTGTTGATAACAGATTTTATTGTCACAACGATGAAGAAGCCCTAAAACGATAACGAAGCGAAAATAAAATAACATATCAAAATAAGAACTAGATAAACTAAAAAGAAAAAGGGATAGTGTCTAAAGAAAAAATGTAATGGGAATGAACTTACAATGAATAAACGTCCACTGGCTGCCAGTTAATATGCGAACTAATTGTGCAAGAAAAACAATATGGCTGACCCAGAAAATGGTCAGGGACCCGTTAGATGCTTAGTGTATGAAACCTCTTCAAGAACCTCCTATACCATACCAAGGTCACACTTCTCTGAGGCGCAAAGCAGATCCTCAGGATGCCAGGCTTGCAGAGAGTTAGAGCGGTTTTCATTTGAGTGTCGAAAAGTAATTGGTTTTGCACTTTCTACACGATGCGATTGGCTTAAAAGATTCGCGCCACCTTTTCATCCAATCAGAAGTAAAACCAAAGCCAATTGTGACGCGCTCACATGCATTTTCCCGCGCTTTGCGTCAGCCACATGTAATTACTTCGAGTTTTGATTGGTTCAATGTATTGTCTGTGTCCTATGTGATTGGCCAGAATAATTACTTTGGTTTTGGTTTTACGACACTCAAACGAAAACCACTCTAACAATAATATTTTGTTTGGATTGTAGGCTTTAAAGGCAATGCTCGGGTCATCATTCCTGGACTAACAGCTTGTATAGAGTGTACACTTGACCTCTACCCACCACAGGTATGACTTTTGTTGACTTGTTTGATAGTTGTAAATACTTTCCTTGCTTAGTTTGCTTTATGGCTGACCGACATCCTGTACATGTGTTTTCTTGCCAGGTTAATTTTCCATTATGCACCATAGCACACACCCCTCGACTACCAGAACACTGTGTAGAATACGCCAAGGTGTTAGTATGGCCTCAAGAACATCCTTTTGGAGGTATGTACAGTATTTTCATCAATCCTTAACTTTGCATTCCATTTGCATTTTCATTTTGCTGTGCTGCAGAAACCATCAACTTTCAAACAGTTTGCCGTTACAAACAATCACTGATTTTATTCAGCAAGCTAGTTAAACTGAATTAATAATCCTCTATGATTGTTGGCATCTTTATTTTCATACTTTTAGTCCATTATTGATAGAACAAAAATTATAAAGACTATAAAGATGCAGGCTACCCAAGATTAATTCCCAAGTAAAAAACAATAAAATGTTCCAATTATTGTTTCTTATTATAGAGCTGTGAAAGTACCTTTTAGGGATCTGTCTATACAGGTACTGAACTAAAAAATGTAGGGGCCTCTTTTGTTACTCAACTGATTTTTTATACCTTTTGGGGTTAAAATGAATTAAAGCCACAACCTCAAAGTAAGTTCTAGTATCTGTAAGGGGCTCTTGAAAATCCCCACCATTTTTGTAGCAGATACTTTCATGATTATTTTTTCAGAGGGAGTTCCTGTTGATGGAGATGATCCAGCTCATGTTCAGTGGATTTATGACAAAGCAAAAGAAAGAGCTGATAGCTTTAACATTCAGGGAGTCACCTACCGGCTTACACAAGGTAATTTCAATCAGTGACAATTTGCCATAATTTTAATAAATTGCACAACTACTTTGTGGTCTAATGAATTTGTCATCTTATTAAGGTGTCGTCAAACACATCATCCCTGCCGTGGCCTCCACCAATGCTGTAATTGCTGGTAAATATGCTTTCTTTTCATTTTATTTGTTCCTTGAGCCTTCTAGTATGGTTGGTCAATCCCATCATTTGGAATGTTCAAACTATTCCCTCAATCAGGTAATCTTGAAATTTTTAATTGGCTAATTCCAATCCTGGACATATGTTTTAAAAAGTGCCATACAGAGGGTCCAGATTTTCTCAAATATGAACACCCCATGGCAGATAGGAAAAGGAAAAGCATCAAGGTGAGGTCATAATATCTAAGCTCCACATGGCTATTGAGAGAATGTGGATAGTTTTTGTTCAGCCAAAAATGAAAAACGTCTTGTCAATGTTAGGTTTATGAAAATGCAGCTTAGTGTTCTAACAGGAAAAAAATTTCCAAACCCTACATTATCAAACCCCAAAGTTCCAAATCTTCCTGGTTTATTTTTTTAGGACTGTCTGAAAAAGAGATTGGTAATTTTTGTGAAATGTTTACTTTGGGTGCAGAAGGGTGTAAGCCAAATTAAGGAGGAGACTCTCTTCTTTGGTCAATGACTCTAATTTTCTCTTGTTATTTGTGTCATGCCAGCTGCTTGTGCTCTGGAAGTTTTCAAACTGGTCTCCAGGTAAGGGTCTGTTAAATCTCTGGAATTCCAGGGGGTGGGAAGGACATGGTTCATACATGTCGTAGTGGTCTTGCAATCTCACTTTCAGTAAGATTTCCGCACAGTACCATACATGCAGTTTCATTGTTTTTCATGGTAAAAGTTTATTTATCATGAACAGAGTTGAAAATGTATGCACAATAACATCATTTCCTTTGGAACATTTTTGGGAACCTTGAGAACATTGCAGATGTCTTCAGAGATTAGTCTTTTTGTGCATAGATTATCTTTAAAATAGTATAATATTAACTGTCTTTATTCTTGAATAGCTGCTGCAATCCATTAAACAACTATATGGTGTTTAATGACACAGATGGATTGTACACGTATACCTTTGAGGCTGAGAGAAAGGTATGTAAGAATATTATATTAAAAAAAAGATTTTTCTATTATAGTTAATTCTATTTTTTGACTCGATATTGGAAAAATGTGTACACTGTAGCACAAGTTTGAATTCAGCCGTAGGTAATATTGAAGCATGCATGTTCTATACTGGAATTCAGTCAAGATTTTAACAGCCGTGTCTTGCTTTTTACAGTTAATTGATTTTACTATTGTTAAGTGGTGGTAAATAAACTGGCTTCTTTGTAAAAATCCACCTGCAATTGTTTTTTTATAAATGTATACAAAAATATTTATTTTTCATAGTGAGCAGAAGGCAAAAATAAAGTACAGTCAAACCTGCATGTGCGACCACCTATCTTAAGTAACCGCTTCCTCAAAACACTAAAATTTTCCCAGTAATAGCTCTGTAGTTTGAATCTCGGAAAAACGACCACCTCCCATCTACTATGACCACTATTTGAGGTGACGGTTTTATGATTTTCCATTTTTTAACCACTTGTATCTGAAGAACTTTTTAGGACGAAATGTAACTTCACATATCATAACTCAGAAATAATATTATTGCATGTACAGTCGAACCTCCACTAATGATCACCTCTCCACAATGGCCACCTCTCTGCAACGGCCATTTTTTTTTGGCAGACAGTCGGTAGATTCACTCTTTTTTCAACCTCTCTACAGTGGCCACTTTTTTCTGACCCTAAGGTGGCTGTTGTAGAGAGGTAAAACTGTGATAATTCTCTGAAAAAAAGTAGAAGAGGCCACTGCAGTTTCAACCTTGTAAGCAACTATCTCCTATAATATAAGCAACCACTAACCACTATATTTTGCTGAAACAAACAACCACGCAATACCTTTTTTTGTCAATGCAAAAATTCTACCTTTACAGTCTCTATATTATGAATCCGTTTGTAGTCTTATGTATGATGTAAATAAAAACACTGCTCCGGTTAATATTTCGAAACTCTTCTCTCGAATTTCTAGTGTTCATACTTACAACACACGTGCCTCAACCTCTGAACATTTTTATACTAAAGAATCTCGACTCAATGTCAAACGAAATGCATTTTTGCGTGTTGGGGTCAAAATTTGGAATGGGATACCTCTAATTCTTAAAGAAAGACCGAAAAAAGCTTTTAAAAGATCACTAAAAGAAATGCTACTGGATTTCCTTGAAACTGAAGACTCCTGTATTGATGTGGATACGATTATCGTGAAAATGAAAAAGTAATTCTCTTGTCCTTTATTTTCATTTTATTTTATTTTTAAAATTTCACTTTAATTATTGTCCTTGCATTTAAGTAGAACGTATCTATTTAATGTAAAATGTATATACTTATATAACGCCTAATTTCTTTGTATTTGTCTAGTTTGTTGTAATTAAAATTATGTAGCCTGGCCTGCCTCAAATAGCCTCGCCAACTGCAGGCCAGTTCCAATGTATCTTTTGCTATATTTTCAAATTTAAATAAAGTTGAAAGTTGAAGTTAACTCTTCACATTTTGGGTGGTTGCTTATATCAGGTTTGATTGTTTAAAAATTAATGTTATGGGCTCTGATCAATACACTCTCACTAATATTGTATTTAAGGATGACTGTGCAGCTTGCAGTCAGCGACCTCAAGTTCTAACATTCCCAGAGGATGTAACCCTTAAATCAGTAATTGACTTCCTTATGGAGACTCCATCATAGTAAGTAACTGTCTTGTAAGCATATTCAAATGCATTTTAATTTATGTGGTTTATTTGTTTTATGAAGACCGTTATTTTTTTTGTCCAATAGTCAACTGAAAGCTCCTGGCCTCACTACCATGATTAACGGCAAAAACAAAACCCTCTATATGCAGGTAAGTTGTTTTATTAAGGTCATTTTTTTGCAACAAACAGATGAAGGCTTGTGAGCTAATAGTTACATAAGTTGGGAGAGTGCTGGTCTGCTGAGTTGGAGGTCATAGTTTCTAACCCTGGCTGGACCAACACTCAGGGTCTTTGTTAAAATAATTGAGAAGAAATTGCTACCCTTGTAATGATATCTGCAAACAGTTAGACTGTCTAGTCTTCTCAGATAAGCACAAAAAACCATAGGACTTTCACATGTCTGTTTCTTGTGTGATGTAAAAGAACCCACACCACTGTTCAAAAAGAGTAGGGGACGAAGATGGTGGTGGTGTGGCTAACCCTTCCGGTGCTTAATGGGTTATCTGTAAGGAGATATCTTAATATAGAGATAACCTCATTAACCTCCTTCAGGTGTCTTTAATGGCTACCTGTAAACAGTGAATGTATAAAGCAACTATTCTCTGCAGCCGTTTTCTTTGTTGTGGGGGATTTTATTGTACAGTATCACAGTTAACTCAGCTTAGGGTAACATTTTTTGATATGGCACAAAAACCCTTTAGATTAAGAACAGCTGAAAAACATCCCATTTAGTCTTAAGTTGTTTTCGAAACTGACTCTTGCTCTCCCTTCAATGATTGATGATATAAGGGCCTTTACTTGTGGGTAGTTTTTTTCCCTTTAATTTGTTCAGGGGAATATGGTCGTATAGACTGTGTATCAGGCGTTTAGAAGTAACATGAGTGCAAGAAAGAACGGCGCGCAAGACAAAGACATGCCTACGCCCCTCATGCGCACATGACTAGTAGGTTTATACGTGCAGCTATCTTGGAGCAAAGAGACTCTACATATTTTCAGCTGCTCATTTCATGGTGATGATGGGGTTCACCAGTCTGTAGAACACACAGTGTGCTTCCATAATCTTTCGCACTTCCCTGGTTAAGGTACCGTTTTTTTGCAAATTAAAAGAGAAACAACTCCTTTTTAAATGTGCCTTTTCCCAAACTGTTTTTTAGTCTGTGAAGTCTATAGAGGAAAGAACAAGAGCGAATCTACCCAAGAGATTGAAAGGTACTGTACCAGTTTATGCATATTGGGTGCGACTAGAAACTAATCTGCCCATTGTTCTTGGAAGGAGTTTGCCAAAAGAATGATTATTCCGTCACAGTTTTTCAGATTTTTCCTTACTCTAATATTTTTTGTAGAAGGTTTAGCAAACTCAAAGGAGAATAATAAATATGCCAACCAACTATTGCTCAATGTAACCAAACAAAACCATTACTATTTTCTTCATTTTTTAAACTGTTATAAGCCCTTAAAATGGCTGTGTTGCACACAAGAGGTAGTCATCTGTACAGGTTCACACTATCGTGATATGTATAACCCGAGGCTGACCAACAGAGAGGAGAAGTCGTTACGTCACGTTGCCAAGGTAGCAAAATTTTTGGATGACAACAAACCGGTAAAGTCACTTAGTTAATCCTTAATTGAACGAGGACTCGTTTAATTCTTGTCTGTTACTATAGGACAAAAGTTTATAAAGGAAATCACACAATTTCCAGACCCTCTCTTGATTACCAAAATATTTTCCTCTCTTTCAGCCAATCAGCGCTCAATAATTTTGTCCTTTAGCTAATGCGTGTGATCTATATGTGGTACATGGCCGCACAGGATCAGAAATTTCTCTTCGACTGTTGAAACATATTTCTCCAGTTATTGCAGCAAACGAGTAAAATATTTTTCAACACGAGAAGCTTTTGCGCGAAAACATGATATCTTCACATGGGAACAGATCACTGTTGCTATGGCTACATGATAAATCGCGCCTTTCACAGTACAAAAGCTGTTGAAGTGAAATGATTTGGTAATTCATTGGTGCTTACATAGTAAATAGGACATTACATGGAGCTACGAAATTTCTCTTCTCGCGTTGAGAACACCCGAAGAGACTGAATTTTGTATCTCCGCGCGGCCATGTGTTAGGGGAGGGGTGGGTTGTATACTAAGGGGAGGGGGTTGCTCAAAGAATTTGCACTCTATTTATTTTCCTTGCACCTTTGTTATTTTTCTTTTAGATATTGGACTTGTTGATGGTCAAGAGATTGTAGTAGCCGATGCCACAACACCTAAACCATTAATTGTTACAATACACTTTTCATCTGACATGGAATGATAAGAACATTGACAACTGAACTTATTCCAGAGTTTTTTCTGAAAAATTATTGTAAATCAACTACTGCAACCAGAGAGATGCGGTGAAAATTGGTGCTTATATCACTCACACTAATTTTCCCTTGTATATTGTTCTGTCAGAATTTTAAAATAAAATGTAGATAGCTCTCATGTTTTGCATTTATCTATTATTTCAGTGTTGCACAAAACTTGCTTGGGGTTTGGGCTTAATGGCTTTTTTGCCATGAAGAGCGGAATGGCAAACTATCATTATTTATGTTTAGAAATAACCTGATTTTTCAAAAAAGAGGTAAAAGCTCAAGTGCTCGAAACGTCGCTAGCGGCGAGGGGCGAGGAGAGACAACTGCTGCAATCGCAGGCCACGCGATTTTATTTAATTCTCATTCACCACTTGCACATCTCCCATAATGCACCTTATTTGCCCCCCAAAATTTGGCATAAGCTTTTTTATTATTATTTCTCTTGGGACGGCTGTAATACCCTGGAGAAATGAAAAGCAAAGGTTATGCAAAATTTCTGGGGGCAAATAAACTGCATTATGGGAGATGTGCAAGTGGCGAATCTTTTTTGCCTGAGTTGTTTACAACTATTTCGAGAAAGGTTTCGCAAAAAATGTGCATGTTACAATCTCAAAAGGTATTGAGATGCTGTCGAACCTACTTTTGTTGCTTTGCTTTAGCACTCGCAGATATATGTCCATGACCTCTCCTGCCATTCTTTCAAATTTCTTTGAAAAACAGTGAACTCAAAACCACCCACAATACCTTTCGGGGTTGTCACGTGCACCTTATCCGACAACCATGTACTGCGTGGCGCCCTTTCGAAGTCTGCCACGCGGGCTGAATGAAACCGTGACTTTTTGTATCATTATTCAAAAGGCAATGTTGCGTGATGAAGGGGTCATGCCGGGGAATAGTGCAGTTTGGCAAAATCGATTCAGAAATATAACTCTACCTTAGCGCCTGGCTCCTTTAAATCAATATCGATCAAAATTGTAAACATTAATTGTTGACTTGGGTTAATAATCTTCACTGACAACTAATTATATCTTACAACCGCGATCTGAAAACATCAAAGTCAGCTAACTACGCTCTCTCAGTAATTAACCAGCATTTCGCAATATCGGAGGTTGCCAACAGACTTAATTTCAGATTTGGAATTTCCTTTAAACGGCAAAAAAAAAAAATGATTAAAGAAACAGTGTTGTGATGAGAAATTATATGCAAATTGAAACTAAGTCTGTTGATTTTGATCTGCATAAGAATTTTTTCCATGTTGTTATTAACTAAATTGGCACCTTTTACAAGGTTTCCTTAATGATTGTCTAAATTTTTCAAGCCAACTTTCGTTTTATCGTCACTCCGACGGGAGATTGTTATTTTAAGTTTTTGGTTGTACCATGCGCCCGTAGGCTGCTGCGTCACAAACTCGAAAAAGTTCTCGCCCTTATCTCATTAAAATTCCCTTTGAAATCGAAAACGTACACACATAACAACTTCCTTGAAAGTTTTCTGTCTCCTTTGGTTGTG